CCCTTGCGCTCACGCCAGGCCTGTGCTGTAGGCGGGGCCACGATGACCTGGGTGACCACTACCTGGACTGCGGGGACCTCAGCAATGCCCTCAAGTGCTACTCCCGAGCACGGGACTACTGCACCAGCGCCAAGCACGTCATCAACATGTGCCTGAACGTCATCAAGGTGACCCGGGTGCCGGCGGGAGGGGCTCTCGGGGCCTGGGGGGCGGGGCGGTCGGAGAGGCCCCCCAAGTTCATGTCAGCCCTGCCCACTCATCCGGCCAGGTCAGTGTCTACTTGCAAAATTGGTCTCACGTGTTGAGCTATGTCAGCAAGGCTGAGTCTACTCCAGAGATTGCTGAGGTAACACCCCGTTCCCCCTGCCCACCCCCTGACTTCCGTCCTCCGGTGCTGGGCCTCTCACGGCGTGACCTTCCCTTGCAGCAGCGTGGAGAACGGGACAGCCAGACCCAAGCCATCCTCACCAAGCTCAAGTGTGCTGCAGGCAAGGCGGCCTGTCCCGCGTCCCTGGGTGGGCGGGGCAGGGGCCGAGGCTCCCCGGGCACCCAGCTCAGGAAGCTCAGGAAGCGTGCTCGGCGTGTGGGGGCCGTTGTGTCTGTTCCCCAGCAAACATTTCTGTCCCTGTCTGGGGAAGGAGAGCACAAGGGGTGGCTGCGCCTTCAGCTTCTCGTTCCTCTAGGCTTGGCAGAGCTGGCTGCACGCAAGTATAAGCAGGCTGCCAAGTGCTTCCTGCTGGCCTCCTTTGACCACTGCGACTTCCCTGAGGTGAGGTCCCCTCGGGGCACAGAGCGGGGCTCAGCTCTTCGCTGCCACTCCTGAGTGCTGAGAGGGGGTGGGCAGGGTAGAGAGCCCTGGCTCCGGATTGACTACCCGGCCTGTGTGCCCGAGCCTGCATGACCCCAAGCCCACCCCTTTGCCCCTCAGCTGCTGTCTCCCAGTAACGTAGCCGTCTACGGCGGTCTGTGCGCCTTGGCCACCTTTGACCGGCAGGAGCTGCAGCGCAACGTCATCTCCAGCAGGTAGGGAGGTGGGGGCTCCCTCCCCGTGTCTGCCTGTGGGTGGGCCTCTCTGCCTCCGGCCGGAGGCAGGCAGGCAGGGGCTCAGCACTGGGGCCTCCGCAGCTCCTTCAAGTTGTTCCTGGAGCTGGAGCCGCAGGTCCGAGACATCATCTTCAAGTTCTACGAGTCTAAGTACGCCTCCTGCCTCAAGATGCTGGACGAGATGAAGGTGAGGCGGCTCCCGAGCCGGGCAGGCCGGGCTCCAGCTCGGAAGGGCCCTGACCAGCCCCTCTCCCCAGGATAACCTGCTCCTGGACATGTACCTGGCCCCTCACGTCAGGACGCTGTACACTCAGATCCGCAACCGGGCGCTCATCCAGGTAGGGGGCTGGGGAGGGGGGAGGCCGGTTGGGGTGGTCATGCCTGGAGGCTACGGCAGCTGGGCGTCTCTGCTCTTCAGTATTTCAGCCCCTATGTGTCAGCTGACATGCACAGGATGGCCGTAGCCTTCAATACAACCGTCGCAGCCCTGGAGGACGAGCTGACACAGCTCATTCTGGAGGGGCTCATCAACGCCCGCATTGACTCTCACAGCAAGGTGGTCCTTGGGCCGGGGGCCGCAGGCGGGCGGGAGACCCGTCCCCTGCTGGGCCCGACCGAGCCTGTCCCTTTCCAGATTCTGTATGCCCGGGATGTGGATCAGCGCAGCACCACCTTCGAGAAGTCCCTCCTGATGGGCAAGGAGTTCCAGAGGCGCGCCAAGGCCATGATCCTGAGGGCTGCGGTCCTGCGCAACCAGATCCACGTCAAGGTGAGCGCCGGGGCTGCAGGGGGCAGGCCCGCCCGCCCAGGCCCTACCGAACCCCCTGACCCCCCGACCCCCGCAGTCCCCTCCCAGGGAAGGGAGTCAAGGCGAGCTGACTCCAGCCAACAGCCAGTCTCGGATGAGCACCAACATGTGATGGACTCCGGGACGGCCGGGCCCGCCAGCGCAGCCCTCTAACGCCCGCCTGCTCAGTCCAGAGGGAAGGCGCGGTGTTGCTCGCGTTTCATTTGGGCAGGCTGGCCACCAAGAGTCAGCCCCTGGGCCCCCCGTGGGGCCTGCGGGGAGGTAGGTGGGCTGCCTGCCATGTTCCAGGCTGAGCCCTGGCCGCCCTGGAAGGAGACTGCGTGTGATGCCCGGCGGGCCGCCCCATCCCTCACCCGTGCGCAGCCTGGCTGCCGAGGCCACAGTCTGCACAGCTCATTAAAGAGCAGATTCATCTGACCGCCACTTGTGCTTCCTGCCCGGGTCTGCGGCTGGGGTGCTTGACGGCGGGGCCTGCTGCTGTCTACTGTGAGCCACAGCTCACTTTGGTGGGGTGGGGTGGGGGGAGAGTCGTCATTAAGAGTTGAGTTTCATAGACTTCCCTGCTGGCTGTGAACTGGGACCCTCAGACCTCAGCCTCCTGACAGCTAGAATTACAGGTCTGAGCCACCAGTAGCAGCTTCTGAAAGCTGCTCCCCAGGCTGAGGGCCCTCTAGCTCAGTTTGGGCGTGCCCCAGGGTTCTGGCTGCCCGTGTGTGGCGTCACTGTCTGGTGTTGAGGGCTCCCTCGCTGCCCTTCGTCTCCTGGGCTGTGGCACTCACAGTTTTTTTACATAAACCTTTTTAGAAATGGTTTATTGTTCTCTCTGGAAACTGAGGAGGGGGAGGAGCAGGTCCGGCTGGGGCCGGCCCTGGTGCAGCATCGCCAGGCCCTGGCCTGGGCCGGGGGACATCAGTGTGTCCTTTCACGTCAGTGGGAATTTCCCTGAGCAAAGTATTTCTTTTGAAGGAAGTGTCCGGGTTCCGCCAATGTCCTAGGCTGGGGACGGCTCTGCCAGTCGCTCAAGCCCGGGCGCTGCCCACGACTTCGGAGCAGCCCGGTGGCGCTCCAGGCCCCACCCGCGGGGCCTCCTGCAGCCCAGGCTGAGTCCCTTTCCAGGCCAGTGACTTCTCCAATTTGGTTTTAAAAAGCAATCCGTGACCTGGCCCAGGGTGAGAGGAGGCCGGGGTCAGAAGCCGGGGGGCCGTGGGCGGGGGGGGGGGGGCGGGGGCAGGGCAGGGCCCTCACCTGGACAGTCCGCCGTCTCTCTGAAGGCCCGCTTCTTACAGCATGCGCGGCACAGGTTGAACACACACCTGTTCCCCTGGGCACAGGAAAGCTAGTGGGCCTTGGGCTGCCAGCCCTTCCTTCCAGGACACAGGCTGGCCATCTGGAAGGCGCCACCGTGGCCTGGGCACAGAGCGGCACTGCCCTGCCCCAGCTCCACCCCGCCCCAGGCTGCCTGGGCCCCTCACGCTGACGCCCATCTCCGGGCAGCCCTCCCGGCTCACCTTTGGGTTTCCACACTGGTCACACTTGGCATACTTTGCTGGGAAATGGACAAAGGCATGGTGCTGGCCAGTGAGCCTGGGACTGGCCAGCCTGCCCCCCCCAGCCCCGCCCCAGCCGGCTCCCCCACCCGGTCTGCCCTCCCCTCCCAAGTTTACGGTGACCTGCCATCGGCTGGGGAAGGAGCTACCTTTGGGGAAAAGTGGATGGCTGAAGAAAAGGCAGGGGCCCAGCCCACCCCTTACACAAACTTGGCCTTGGACAGCTGCAGGGACAGGGCACAGGCAGGAGCCCTGCAGAGGGGCATGGCCGGGCGGGCGGGGGGGGGTGGCGATGGCTCACTGGGCACCCCTCCCCAACCCCAGAGTGGCACTTACGTTTCAGAGAAGGGTCAAAGGTCTTGCGGGGATTCTGCAGCTGCTGCTTCTGCTTGTTCTTGGACAGCCGCTCGGTGCCGCTGACGGCCTCCGCCTCCTCCTCCTCCTCCAGAGCGCGCTTGCTGCGGACAGCGCCGCTCTCCCTGGGCCTGGCGGACACCACTCGAGGTGATCCTCTGGCCTGAGCTTAGGGGAGGCCCCGGGGCAAAGGGGCTGGGCAGTCACGGCCGGTGGCCACGCGCCCCGGGCCACAGGCCTGAGGCCTGTCCCACTGAACCCTTGTGCTGGGAACTCAGAGCCCACCTCAGCCCCCAGAGGCTGCTAGCCACAACTCCAGGAGCTCAAGAAACAACTGCCCACTGAAAAGAGCCAGCTGAGCCAGAGGTGGCGGGGGTGGGGGGCCGCGGAGCTCACCCTGGCCGGACGCAAGGCTGGCAGATCCAGTGGAAGAAAGGCAGGCTGCCAGCAGGGCCTGCGCCCTGCTCCTGTGCACACATGTCCTCCTGCGGGAGCCCCAGGTCTGTCAGGACAGGCTGCCCCGCCCCCCGCCCTCCCCCCCCCAGCCTCCAGCCTACCTGGCAACGCAGCTTGAGCGCCTGGCTCACGGCAGCGATGCCCTCCAGGGTCTTCACCCTGGCCAGCTCTTCCCGCAGCGGCTGGTGAACCTGCAGCCTGAGGCAGAGGCAGCTGCAGCGCAAGGTCTGCTGGAGGGGGGAACCTGCCCAGACCCTGCCCGCCCTCTGCCCACCTCCTCCCACCCGCCTCCCTGCTCTTCAACACCTGAGCCCGGGCAGGCTGTGAACCGCTGGGGCCCCTTCCCTTCCCGGGCAGCTCACGTGTGGTGCCACAGCTTGAAGAGGTGGGCCCGGACGCAGGACAGCGGGCAAGGGTGCCGCTGGACGATGTCCAGGTACTCCTGGGCCAGCTCCCACACAGCAGGGCTCCGGCCCTCAAACAGGGCGGGGTTGTGCAGGTGGCCCTCTGTGGGTGAGAGGACTGCTGGCTACAGACAGAAACTCAGGAAGCAGACCGCTACTGCCGTGGATGGCCAGGACGGCCAGGACTCCACGCAGCAAGCACGGGGGGG